GAGTGTGATTGTACTCGCCCTCAAAAAACACCGTCACTTCGTTCAGAAATGTCCCCGGCACGTATGGAAGACGGACTCATAATCAAGCGGACAGTCTTGCTCATCCGCCTATAGCAAAAGCGATTTTATTCAATCATTTTAGGGGTGACTTGATGAAGGTGAAAAGCACATTAACCTGGGGCACTGCGATGAGTTCACGTCGGAATGGCTGTCCTTAACGCTAACACCATAGTCGATCAGCATTGGCTGTTCACAAGTCGTGGGCGGTTGTGTAGCAGGCATTGCTTGATCACTGGTTAGGTAGGAAATCGTATTGTTCGCAGGCATGTCCTGAAAAAAACTGCCCTTGATTTCAAAGAGTGGGACAGTAATGGTTGAACAGTCCGAAATAATCAAGACACTACCATGTAATGAATACCTGAGCAGAGGTAACAGTGTTATCTTGCGAGAGCACTTGGACGGGAGCATACGATGTAGAGTTCGGCACTATATATGTGGAGGCATGCGGCTAAGAAAGGTCAAGAAAAATGGTGAGCTCCGTCAAGGAAAGAAAGCCAGCCGCATTATACTCACCTGAGGATGGTAGTCAAAAGCGTAATCTTGCTGGCTGACTGTTTGTTGTGGTTGGCTTGTGTGAGTGTTTGCAGTTTGATACACAGTTTGGTCACCATTTTGAGAGGCGCTTAAACAAATTCCTTGAAACCACTTCACACTACCGCGAGGAATATTAGCGGCTCAGGACAGCTACAGATAGTCCTGTTCGATGCAGATGATGGGGCGTGTCAGTGTGGGAAGGGGCGCGCCGCAAATCCGTTCCTGATCAAGTGTTGAAGCGTGTAAGCCACAACAGCTCGTGGAAAACGACCGATAGATGATCACCATTATCGCTTGCCGAAAGAAAAAAAAGAATAAATGGACTGGTGCTGCACCAAAACTAGTCACCTTTGACGCGCCCCATCATCCGCAGCGAACGAGACCCTAGCAGTTTCCTAGCAGCAGCAGTAAAAATAACAGCACAATCACGCTTCCATTTAGAATATGCCTTTGATCAGATCAGTATCCTGCGGGTGATGGAACTGTATTTACAGAGTTGGATTTCTTTGAAAAGAAGGGGTATATTTGAAAGCTAATATACACACTCTAAAAAAAAGAACAAGTACATGTACTTATCAGACTTCACGCCAGTAGGCGTTCCGAAAGTGCTGTGACTTCGGCGGGGGCGGTGTCATGATGAGAATGTTGAGAGACACGTGAAGATGGCTGCTTGCTGAATACTCTCTTGCCGTACAGCTTCATCTGGTTATCACTTAAGAATGGAGTCAAACAGGGGCGAAAGGTTATGTGCACCGAGCATGCATAGAACTTAGCGACGCAGTTACTTTTGGTGTTAAGTGATGTTCCGTGCTTGGGTTGGCAAAATGTAAACAGATGAGGGGAAAAATGGCAAACCGGTGTAGCCTCCAGAACCCCACTCTTTCTGGATTCGTACCTGAGATATTCCATCCAAATTGTCTTTGAGCGAAGTTTGGCCGCGAAGATTTTCGTAAAGTGTAAGACTGTCGCGAATGTGTTTCGTAGCTCGCGTTGCATGATGTCGCTTGCCAAAGAGGTCCTAGCGGCGCTGGCGCTTATATGAGCGATGACGTTACCTGAGCTTTGAGTCAAGCGAATATGATACTCGCTCGCAATGATACCTGTCTAAGATTCTTTTTGACAAACCTTCCCAGGTAAGCCTGTCCCGTCGTACAGACTCATCATAATTCCAGCCGAGAAATAGGGCGAAGTAAATTGTAGGTAAATAGAGTGGAAAAATACTTTTTTTCTTGGCAGTCTTTTTACTATGGGCGTATTTTATTCTTCTTATTATCAAAATATTGCCTATCAGAGTGAAAAAGTATTGGAAACCTTGTACAAATATCCAAAAGATCGATTCAATTAAAAGTAGTAATCACTGTAACCTAAACAGTACGTACGCCCTCTCACGTTGCGGTTATCGTCGAAAATTCCACTTCGTAAGGTCTCGCAAGTACGATTCCAAAGTCGACAGCTCTTGGTCGAAATGATGCGAAACGACCGCAACAACCGAGCAAAAGCCTTCTGTCAAACTCCAAGCAATAACCAAAAAGCCATCGGAACGCAATGGCATGCGATGATTACATAGTGGACATAACTTACATTGACAATTTGTTCGAGATTTTTGTCATGTAACTGATCGTTGACTTGTATAAAGACGTCACCAGCATTTTCGAAACGATGACGATTATCACGAAGTGACGGCGCCTCATTGCAGAAAGCTCGTAAGGTCTCATGATACTGGAAAATGTAAAGCAATAGGCAGGCTATAATGAGTCAAGGTGCATGGACCCCTCGCACTCCAACAGCACAGTGAAGTGCAATCTTTCAGCCATTCTATTTGGAGAGGGGCCCGAAAATATTGACACTTTTTGGGGGCCATGCTACGTTATCGGCTACCAGTTTGGCTAACGCACGCACTCGTGTACAATCCATAGTGGCTATCACTAAAATGGAGTATGTTGTGGGACATCAGATCCTTCAGGTCCTATTTAAGCCCCTCCCGCGACGGTTACAGAAATGTCTCATTAAGTTATGCTATTCCGACGCAATCCCGGCCCTCCAGACACTGAAGCCCCACTACTGCATAAGTCCCCAGCCGCTGAAGCCCCACCGCTTCATACATCCAGTGGCCCATGAAGTGTCCTACTCGCGCATGTATCCTTGCATGGCGCAGTGGATCACTTCAGACAGTTCTCACTAAAAGTGTCGATGAAAAATAATTACCGTAAGATAGTCATTTTCTGCTACTAAGTGCGTCTTTATAGAAACAACCACGCAATTGTAATCCATTTGGTCGCCATACACGATATCACTACTAATATTAGAATAGGCTTAAATTCCGCTTTGACCTGAAAGCCTTATACACGGGTCATATCAATTCGCGGTATGATTCTGAGCGGTGTAGCAGATTTTTAGGGCAAACTTGTTGCCATCAGCCCTTATCAGCTGTTATCACTTCCCGTCACACCAACTCAACGACCCACGCTCTATATCACTTCCTGGGACAAGGCACCACTATTGCTACGACATGTGCTATAACGCTAATGATCCTCCCCCTCCAAAAGGGGCATGTGACAAATAATCATGATAGGCCGCGCTTGCGCTGGTGGGGAGCGACGCCGCATACGAAAGGTGAGTTGTCCTCCCAACCGTTCAAATTCCAGTGATGAAGCGACGGGAAAAATGGAAATAAGGTCCCACTATTGCCCATATGGAGTCTTGTATACACTTCGAACGCATACGAGTCTCGCTACTCCAATCGACAAATTTATTACATATTGGGAACCTGCCGCGCATTTGCCGCGAAACGGGAACAATATTACAATTGTATTGCTCGTCTTCCCTTTTAACGTCCTTTATCAGCTCCCACCAATTGTTATCAATTTCCGTTGCGCAACCCACATTTTCATAGACCATTGGAAATAAGGCCCCACTACTGCTACGACGTGCTTAGGAATCTCATTTATTCTGTTACTTGAAGATTCATCGGTGGCCTAGTTCCTCTGGCTGAGGAAAGGGCCGTGCTCAGGGTTAACAAAATGTTTACCGCCCACGAGCTGCTCCGCATCAGGACCCTAGGGGTATGTGGCAATGCTATGGCGTTTCAATCCAGCTAACTAGGAAACACTAATTGGTTCACGACGATGCCGCTTTTCGGATGTCTCAGACTACAGCAGGACGAAAAACTTCCCACGATACGCGGGAACCTTTCCACTATACGAAATCGGTTCACCTTCACCGTAGCTCCTTACCATCATTAAACGAAAATCCTCATCCCCAGCACTAAATGACGTGCGACGTGAGAAAATGAAAAGGCGCTGTATGTGACGAAAGATGATATTTCTCCGCCCCCTACCATGCCACGTCGCATATTTGAATTTTAGCAACGGAAAACCAAGACTAACCTGTCGCCTACCAAGATAACCAAAAATCAGTCCATCAACAAGTTTTACATTTTCCACGTCCATGACATCTAGCTACCAGTCCACAATACTGCTATCAAACTGAACATCACTTCAAAAATAGACCGCCGTTTTGAATAGACTATTAAAAATGAAATTCATGAGGGGAAGTATGTCGCAAATATAATGCATAGCTGTTCCCGAAATAGCAGCACAAAAGACTTGAATAATTTATTATTACATTATGTACAACATCACAGCGACACAGTTCATGTATGTATAAGGCATGTATCTAGCATAGCTAATCTAAAAATCTAATACAGCTAACCTAAGCTAATATAACCAAAGATCACACAATCCATGATTTATTGGAACTTCAGCGATCAGAAACCGGGAGGATTCCAGTCAATGGTCTGCGGCACTTCTTTTTGCCTGTACACTTCAACAGTGTCATCTTCTTTGAATCGTATACTTTTATCTTCGAGAGCAATTCCAACCTGTAAAAGATGTCTACCGTACCACCACTGTCACTGTCAACATGGGTGTCAAACAACTGAGTGAATGCAATACCTCGGTGTTCGTTTTCGCTGTGGTGACCACTTCTGTTTGTTGTTTCATCGACTCCACCTCGCCCTCATAAAACGGCTTTCCAGCACGTAGAAATTTGAAAATGCAGTTTCTGAAATGAGAGATGAAGGAATACTGACCTAAAAGTTCGTTAATAAAAAGAGATAATTACTTCTGGAAATTTCCCCAATCGACAAGAACGCCAGCAATAGGTTGTTTTTTCCGATTACGGTCACTGATTTGGAACTCCTGGAAATTTTTACTTTCGGTACACGACAAGGACAAGAAATAATTAGAGACAGCTTCAATTCTCGGAATTCAGGCCAGGTTGTGGGTGTTAATCATTTTTTCATGGATAGATTCCATCAAAACACTGTATATAGGTGTGATCTGGCTCTTAAATACCATTTCTACACTCTCTGCAGCGACACCGTCTGGCACCCGGGTTTTCAGTCGCTATCCTGATAGAACTATTCTAGCGCCATGGCGCACGTTTCGGGCGTTTCAGCCTACTCCAGATAAGAGAGTACCAACCATAAGTTCGACCAAAATCTGGCTGGACTTCCGGAAACAATGAGTAGAAAACGAACGGGCAGGGGGGGGGGAGTATTCTGCACCTTCGCTGCCTCACTGTTCCGGTTTACAAAGCTCAATCTGGTCAAACCTGTGAACTGTTGTGAAGCTGGAGCAAGTTCGTCGACCCACCCTGCTTAAAGACACATAGTACGCTCACACACATTGAGGGTGTATGAGACTATCAGCCCCAGCTGTCGATGTGTCGTGGTCCCCCCGCCCAAACATGCCCAGGAATGGAGATACAGGACCGTGAAACACGCTAATTCTTCCATGCTCCGCCGACTGCCACCTCTGTTTTCTCTTCTCATCTTCTCCACCGTCCTTCGATAACAGGCCGTTCGTAACGCGCCGCGCCTTTCCTCCGTGGTCGCGTCGCGGCTCCTTTGGCACTTTGCAAGTCTTTAATCGTTGCTTCCAAGATATAAATAAAACGCGACTTTCGATGCCGCGCATCATCGATATTGGCGGCTATGCAACCTAGCTAAAGAACAAAGATGATGGACGCAATGGGTCAGACTTGACAAGCAACTGTGATCACTGTCTTGCAAATCCCACGGAAGAGGCCCGTGTATTCCACGAAATTGAAAATAAGAACGGACATTACCGTTAGTTTAAGGACAGCAAAAACAATTGCCTGATTCGCGAAATAAAATTTTGCAGGTGTTGCTCATGTTTCAAAATCCATGCACAAGGAGATGAAGATGACACAGGCTAGAAAGAAGCACAACGATGTAAATGTAAATAAAAGAAGAACGAAAAAATCAAGGAAAGGCAAATTATTTTTAAAATCGCCTGTAAATTTCTCGATCTGGCGCGAATCCGGCGCCAAAGCATAGAAATACTTGGAACAAACGAGTGGGATGCTTGGGTTGTTTTTATTCTGTTTTTGTGGCAATGTGCGGCCTCTGATGGATACTGCAGATGCAGCCGAGAGTCTGCTCTCCGCCAGTTCTTGCGCCATCGTCATCATGCTTCTGACCTTCCTTATTAGCGTTGGCGGCCAAAGTCTCTGTCATATATCTCTGACCCAAAAGCTACTTTGCTATTTTCTGGGAAAAAGCCGTACACCCCGGCTGACTCTCGCTCTCCACAGGAACTGGTCTTATCTATTCGGTATCACTGGCCTTGACTCCTGCCTCTCCTTATCGTGCAATATGAACAAGAATGTTATCCGCTACCTTTGGCACCGACCCCTCCAAGTGCTTCCTCAAACTCTTTCTTCTACCGCCCTGGCGCCAGCATGACAGCTGTCGACGCCGAAATAACGGAGCTGCACATGGACAATGTCTACAGTCATCTGACAATCTTCCACGACGCTGGCTCTTCAGAGCGGGAGGCTACGGTGCGAATGGCGAAGTGATGTTTGGGAGTCCCTGCCAGTACCTGTGATCTCAGCCTTGAGATTAGCTGTGCGGCCGGCGACTCTGTATAAAATAATGCCTGCCCTCGTAATCCGGTACCGTAGTCCCGACATGCTCTTTCTGGCTGGCTACGTACAACTCCCTGCTATTCACCGCACAGTCCGAGAAAACTCAACGACTTCCGAGCCCAAGTCAACAGTGAGATTCGATGCTCCAACACTTTTGCGTCGTACGCCCAAGAGCCTTCCATTGTGAAGCGATGGCATCCACGAAGTGCTCGAAAACTGGCAGGGATTCCGCAATGACATTGCTGTATAATTTTGATCTTGTACGCCTCTCTATAAAAAGAAAGCCTTGTTTGAAAAAATGTGACAGAACTTTCCGCAACCTAATATTTTGTAGCACCTCCAATGTTATCCGCATCAGGAAATTGCGTTTTATGTATTTGAAGAGCGCAATTAAAGGACTTGGCAAAGTGCCAAGGAGCCGCACGCGACACGCGCGCTTACGACGGATGTTATGAAGGAGGAATCTGCGCCGCAAAAAGGTGTAAGGCGGAGCATGGAGGAATTAGCCATGGTCCTGTATCTCCATTCCTGGGCATGTTTTGGGCGGTGCGCAAACAGGCGACCACGACACATCGACAGCTGGTCTGGGGCGGATAGTCTGCATACACCCCCAACTGTGTTATTGAGACGCGACCATGTTGTCTTTAAACCATTCAACTCTAATAAGCTCATGCAGAATGGCCGTTAAGTAGCAAAATGCAAAATGCCCGCCCCCCGCCGTCGCCGAACTGCCCCGAAAATGATAACCCCATAATATGGGAACTGAAACGTTTCACACCTTCAGCACATGACCTTCTCCAACGAGTTCCATTTCAGTTAAGCGTTGGTAATCGCTGAGACAACTCATCCTTTAATGCTTCTACGAGTCGATAAATAACGTTGAATAATTCTATGCGAACGCCGTCTTGTTCAGCCTGCCTCTTAACAGCTGAAGGTGGCTGAACGTTGAACAAGTAGATCAAAGCTGAAACAAGACCGGAATTTCAATTGTCTCGCAAACATTTGTTTTTTGCGACTGAAATCCCACCTCCGGTCTCTTTAGCCATTTCCACATCCATGTTCGTGGGTGCACCGACACCGAAATCAACTAGTTGAAATTTGCATTTTTCGCTATCGTAAGTATCTATAACGTTCAGAATTGCTTCCAGCGTTCCTTCCACATCAGTGCGGAGCTAAAAAGTCTTTATTAGGGAACAAGAATGTTTGGCGAAGCAGATGTGCAAGGATAGCTTGTTCTGTCAGAGATAAACGAACAAAGTGATTACATCATTTCCTTTTGAACTCACGACCTTTTCAAACTAAATTCGCGACTTTTTAAAGAAATTTCGAGACTTTGCTTACCCCACTCTGACTACCACGTCTATATTCCAGCGTGGCCATGATGTTTCAAATTTTGGAGACAGACAAGATTTATTCCGGATGATGAGAAATTCCCTACTAGTTAAGACTGTAACCGCTAAAGTGGGGCAATTTTTGGAAGGAAGCGGAGCTCCTACGAAGTGGGCTTGTAATGTTGGGTAAAGCTGAATTGACAACCCAAAAATGCAAAATTCTGGAAAAAGTGGTTAAAACTTCGCAAAAAAA